TACACAGAAGCAAGTGAGGAGGAGCATCAGAGTCGACAAACGTAAATATGTAGACGATCTAGCAACGATATCGGAAAAGGTTGCAAAAGTAGGAAACATCAGACAATTGTATAATACAATAAAGAAACTCGCTGGAAATTACCGTAAACCGGAACGAGCAGTGAAAAGCAAGAAAGGTCAAGTAATCACCTGTATTGTAAAACAGCGAAACAGGTGGATAGAGCACTTGAAGGAACCCTCGTATTAATTGACCAGCAAAGCCCAACCCACCCAACATCAAAGTAGCGCGCACGGACCTCATATTCAATCTCGGCCCACCATCAATTGAAGAGGTCAGCATGGTCACCAGACAAATCAGAGCGGAAAGCAGCAGGACCAGACAACATTCCAACAGAGGCAATGAAAGCAGACTTAACAGTGACTGCAAAGATACTCAACACACTTTTCAGCAAGTTTTGGGATGAAGAACAAGTACCAGCGGATTGGAAAGAAGGGCACCTGATCGATAAACCAAAGAAAGGCGATCTCAGTAAGTGTGGGAACTACAGAGACATCACTCTTCTTTCAATAACAGGAAAGGTCTTTAACGGGGTGTTGTTAAATAGAACGAAAGACTCCGTAGACGCCGAACTTCGAAATCAACAGGCTGGATTCTGTAAGGATCAATTTTGTAACGACCAAATCGCAGCGCTACAAACCATTGTGGAACTATCAGTTGACTGAGATTCACCACTCTACATCAACTTTATGACTACTAAAAAGAATTTGATAGTGTGGACAGGACAACACTATGAAGGCCTCTTCGACACGACGGCGTGCCTGAGAATGATAATAATAGTAATATATTTCCGTAGTGACAGTTACACGCCATTTTTACAGACATGATCTATAAATTACAACATTTATCGCTTCACTGTATGCATGTTAAATATCTATAGTCTATATTAGTGAATATCAGTTCATTTTTCAGATATACTGGATAATCTTCAAAATATTCTCCAAAGCGGCATCACGTCCACGTTACACGCGAGGTCCAGTCTCCAAATTACTGTGTTGGGATTTTGGTTGTGCTAAGTATTTATGCAATGCAACTTTTTATGTTTATAGTTGTTATAAAGTAGACATGTAGAGTACTTGATGTGAACCATGAACTTGGGAAAACACGTACGTCTAGTTTGTTCCAGATGTCAGAGGTTTCATAGCTGTGCCCTTAGAGCATGATTCTGAAAGAAAAAAGAGAAACCGAGAAGCAGCAAGGCACTTGGATATGGACGATAAACAATACTTAACATTTTGTAGTGGGACAGACAGAGGTATGATAAATTGTTAGATTAAATTCATACTAGCTCTTGTAGCTAAAGTGAAATGTAATCAGAGGCTCCAGATGAGGGAATGCGATAACAAAGAACAAGGAGTTGTGACATATATCAAGGTGGAGCAAGTTCAAATGAAGCAAGGGAAGTCAGGGGCGGAATAAGGAAGGCTGTTTATGAGGACAGAAAGTGCACATAGAGAGTAAAAATGTTGAGAAAACTAATAACTATGTCTTTTATTGTCTAATGTAAAGCCCGAGTTAACACGTTATAGGTTGTCTTAGTAGAATAGCTAATCCAGCGTAAACTTGGAAACATGAGTCTGGATGGTGAGAGTAGAACAATCTCAATATCACAGACTGATTGACTTGTTCTCAAACATAAAGAGCCTGATACGAACAAAATGTTCTGTCCCACAAACATGGGTGGATTGAAGTCATCGCCCTCATCATCAATGCTCTCTAGTCAGTAACTCCACCCTCCCTCCTTTGTGATATTAGGCTCATTTAAACTTATTTTCTGGATTTATAACATACCTCACACAATGCTCTGTTTCACATCCTTTTAGAAAAAACTTTCTATAAGTATCATTTTACAAACTCATCAGGCAGCTACAAATTATGGACTGTAGGTAAGTCATCGATTGACTATAGTATGAAGTATAGGTTGCCAATCAGAGTGTAGGCTGCAAGAACGGTATATTGTACGATAGTTGTTTACCAAAGTAGGCGGAAAAGTATAGAAATATATGAGTTATAGATAAGGTAACAAGTGGTGAAAGAATATTAGTGGCAAGTCAACACAGTGTACAGGAGAGTAAAAAGCTGATAAATCATAAGCAAGAAGAAACTCAAACTCAATTGGTATCGGTGTTATTTTGTTCCATCCTAACCCGTTGATGAGTAATAGGTTCCATAGGTGCAAGAACATTAGTAGTAGGCAGGTATTTGTGCGGTTTTTTTACTTTTTGGGATAGTAGTAAGCGTTTCTTAGCGACCGAAAGTCGATAAGTTCAGTGAGTTACCTGTTTACTCTTCCTAATAACCCTACATGGGTAGTAACTTGTTTGCGATCCCATGTTGTGGATTACTGACCATCCCTTTTATGACGAAGTTGACCTGATGTGTCAGAAACAGGTCACACGATAGTGCTTTAGTCCGTTTGAAACCATATTTTTGGTCTAATCATGCTAAACGCATTGCTGTCAACTATTCCTCATAATGTTTTCAGACTACAAACTCGGGGAGCCAATGTAGTCTTTGCTGTGTCTCGGTGGTAAGTCACTGCTGCATAGATCCTGATTCTTCAAAGTTGTCGAACCACACAGTTCCTCATAGTTACTGTTCTGTTTTAGGCTAAAGTTGACAGTTCGACATTTAGAAAGATTAAGTGTGAGACCTTTAACAACAGAACACCGTTCAATGAGAGACAGGAATCCATTCATTTCAAGGGGCTGTGGAGAGTTAGAAATCAGCACACACTCAGTGAGATCGTTCGCATGTTTTACAAATGTATGTGTTTTGGAAGATGGCATATCATCCGGAAAAAAGAGGAAAGAAGAGGGAAAAATAGCTTCATGTGGTAGGGATGCTGAATATTTTCCCCATACACAGTGAGCTGTTTTATTCCAGAAGACAGAACGGAGCCATTTAGATACCCAGCTGTCGGGGCTGACGTTGGTCAACTTGTTAAGCTGCACTTATCTTGCAATCGAGTCAAAGGCAGAAGTACGGTCTATCAATTTACCCCCACTCTTTTCAAAGTTGAACACTATATACAGAACATGAACAACACCCTAGGTACTTCTTTTGCATTGATTAGCAAACTGATATAGATCAGTATACTTTTAAGCATACGTTGAAGTGGGTAGCAATAATTTTCTCATTGTTTTGAGAAAAGGTGAAATTATTGCTATAGTTCTAAATTTTAGATTCTTATAATCGGTTATTACTTAGGTATCGGGATCATTTTTATCTTTCTCCACATTTTCGGATGATAAATATTAGAACCTTTTAGTGATGCTAAACAATCGTCTTGTAGGTCGTTTAACCAGTATTCTTGAATTGTGATCACGCCGCAGTTACGATACGTGCTTGTACATAGTCGGAATTGAATGTAGTCCACTTTGTCAAATAATAATATGCAGTTAGAAGTTAGGTGTTCAGGAATTGACATCTGATTAATGTTCATTCTCTCCAGTGCACATTACCAGTCACAAAAATGACTCTGATTACATTTTTTTAACATCTTGTAAAGTGATGAGTCATATACCTTTCGTATACACACCTCAATAGGTCATGCGATTAATATGCACAATGTGTGTTAAATCAAGCATAAAAGGCAACTTATCGAAATATCTGGAAGGTAGGAATAAATTTCCCGGTTATTGGAGCAGGTCATCTCAAATATTTAATTGAGTAACCTAATCCTTAAAAAGATTAGGGCACGTTCTTTTCTTCGCTCTGATAGCAACAAACCGCTTACTGAAACAGCAGTCACAACCTTTGATCTGCATCGGTAGATGTTAAAGTAAATTCTCGTTTTGTAGATAATAACATTGATACACATTGTCAACAGATAACAAAAGCACTGAACACTATTTCATTTGGACCATTGGTTGTTAAGTTTATTATTGAGATTTACGAAGCTTGAAGCAGAAAATTTAGTTCAGCACCGATTCCTATAAGTGTATGAAAGACTACTGACTAGAATGCGAAGATTTACAAAGAAATCCTCAAATAGCTAAACATGTCAAGATCAGATTTCTAGCTTTGTCTGTGTTATTCCAGTCACAGATAGGAGAATGCAGCCACTGGAATTTCTCACGTACTAAGTATTTCAAGTCTGAACATAGGGCGACTCAACATAAGATTATCATGTGGATCCACGAAGCGGATCTTGTCGGGTTGATCATCGGAAAAAAAGTATTCACACATAATTCCATTGTCCTACTATTATTTTGTGCACAGCGGAATGCTTAAAAAGTTGTTTCGGTCAAAGATCTATCAACCTGGGTACTTCTAAGAAGCTCGAGCATCTGTTTTATCCTTGGGGGAAAGCCTAGCATATGGCGGAGCACAACACAAAGATTTGTTTCCCTTCTGTCTTTAGTTAACCACTGATTCCTCCTCTAAAATTTTAGTAATCATCGTGGTACATAAAAATCATCTCCCGCCTACTTTTCAATCTATTAGCTGAGTGGTAAGACTAGCTAAAAATGGACGTCGTACAAATTAAGAACTATCGTGCAGTATCGTAATTATAAATTCGACCAAAATTGCCGTTTTTTCCTTTATGATCCCCGCTTCTTCCTGTTTTTATGTGCTTATACACTTATTCACCTATCTGCCTGGTCAATTAAATTATTTACTTATTTGTCTGTTCATTTTGAACACTTATTCCTTTCTACTCATTAGCATCGCAAACTTAAAGGCTTTACAATCCAATTAACTAGCCCGCTTTCATGTAAAGTCAGAGCTAATTTGTCCAATGAACCGTTTTTGTCTTACTCATACTCAAGAAATTCCAACCTCCAAGAAGTTAAATTCATATGTAATACTGCAGTCTAGTTTTTAAAACACCCATATAGAACTACTGAAAATCGAAATCCGTGCTTAAACAATGATATACGACCACTAAAAAGAAACCTGTATTCATTTATTCGTCACAAACATATTGGATGTTGATGGAAGAGAGTTCAGACGAAGCAGTTTCTGTCAGATGAGTCAAAACTCAAGGTCGTCCTTGGCTAGAACAGTTAGCAGGTCGACAAAGAATGGAGAAACAGATATTTGGCTTAAAATTCGCTGCAAAACAAATGCAGCGTTGTGCCATTCGTTGCAACAAAGACGAGGTGGAATCTAAGAATAAATTAAAGGCTGCTATCAAGAAGGGGGACCATGAAGGTGCAAGAATCCATGCCGAAAATGCGATTCGACATAAGCACACCGCAACAAGCTATCTAAGACTTGCTGCGCGAATCGACGCTGTTGTCTCTAGGGTTCAGACAGCTATGACTACCAAGAATTTTACTAAGAGCATTATGACAGTTGTCAATTGTATGGAGAACGCAGCCAAGTCTATGGATATGGAAAAGGTTAGCTGTCTCATGGATAAATTCGAAAGAGAATTTGACAACATGGATATACAGTCAAAGGTTTGTTTAGTTATTTATGTTGGTTTCACTTAAATAGCTTGTAAGCTCCTCGCTAGCCAATGCGATGTCCATTTCAACTCCTGAAAATGAAGTTCAAGGACTGATAAATCAGGTAGCTGACGAAACTGGAATAGAACTGAACTATGAACTCCCTGGTTCTACTCACGGTTCCGTTTCAGTGGCCCCTATTTCAGCGGAGGAGGAAGATGGTCTCACGCAGCGCTTAGCTAGACTTAGACAATCGTGAGATAGTTTTTTGTTCAGCTGAATTTGTTTCACTTCATTTATTTCCCTTGATTTTAACTTGAGATAACCTAACTACGTTTGTTACCTGTTTTGTTGACTTTGCTTGAACGTAATTTGTATTTATGAACACTACTTCAAATCAAGAGTGCATTGTGACGTTTCTTTTGGTGTTTTAGAGATTATGATTTATTTTAAAGCTACATTATATTCTTTCCATCAAATTTGGCTAAGTTTGTGGCCTGTTCAGGTCGTTGAGGAGATGAGTTCCATGATACTAGGTAAACAAGACAAGCACTTTTGGACGCTACATGATTGGGATGTTGTAGACATGAAGTTATTTGCTTATACTTATTTATTTAAACAAACACTGGTACAAGAAGGCACCGAATACATATGCACCACACAAATAATTAGATTTTCATGAAGGCTGGAATACCACCCAGGTGCTCAAGGCGAAGGTGGTTTTCTTGGGGATGAGGGTCACTCCTCAAGCATTTGACCTAATGGTCTAATCCACAAAGTGGTGGAGCAACGTATGGAGATGCAGTCCCATAGTAGTATATGATTAACAATTGATTCAAGCGCCATTTGTTACTTTAGGATTCTGGAGCACATTTGCACCATTGGTTTGGAATGAGGGTTTTCCAACTCCCCTAGGTTTATCCTCCATATCCACCAACTCGGTTAAAGCGTCGGACATTCGTTTTTCATACTCTCGATTTTATAAACATCACCCCTTTCGCGAGGAGGCATTGAGTTGGACTTTCCTGATAGTGGGTGTATATGCGTGACCATGTGAAAGCATTTAAAGAGAGCTAACTCATATGTCTAACCAGCTTCTTCGGTGTCCTATGGTTGCCGATATCTAAGCAGGTTCGAGAGTGCCAGAGGTTTGGCGAACCAGGACATTTTCCCATGAAATCTTTGACTTGGTTTGAGCCATGTTGTTGGGTACAGACTTTCTCATTGGAGTTCGCATAGAATTTGTAATCACCTGTTAGGGATATTGGATTACATAGAACAAAATTAGTCAAAATGGTGCAGCTGAACTTAATGTCCATCTCTAGTTCAAATTCGAGTTAAATATCACTTATAAATTTAGTCTCGAATGTATGAACTTTATTTCTCATTTCTAGGTTTCCATTGCTTACGATATTATTTCCTGCCGTGTGTTTCTCGTCCTCGTTGATGTCTCCGAGCTATCGTGAGATGGCATGCTTTATCTTCAGAGGGTTCATTTCTCTCTGTTTTTCATCTCTTTACCATCGCTGATACCGTGGCATTCGTATAAATAGTGTCATCTCACTTTGTTGGTATGGTATGATAGTTTGAGCAATATCACAAGTTTGCCAGATTCTTACTCTGTATATGACTAACTAGTTGGCTGTCAGTTGTTGATATTGCACCACCGTCATCCATTTCCATCAGTAATATTTATCCTATACCCAACATGATTAAATTTCATCAATCACTGCTCCTCATTACGGCACATTATTATTGTTATCATGGGAGATCTGTGTAGATTTCTGAATGTTATGGAAAATATTATGTATTTAATATCTAGTGCCACTGTGTTATGAACGAACGTTAAGGGTTTCACATTCTATAAAGAAAGCTGCGAAAGATTTGTAGTTCGTGTATACTGTTAGCGTTGTTGTGTTTATTTTTTGCTCAGGGTAGTCTAACTGCGAAGTTTATATTGTCTTTCTCAGCCAGTTCTGATTACTCTGACTATGAATGACTTCTGTTTGTCCTGGTATTCCCGTTAAGGCATTTTTTCTTTCCTGTTCAAAAGGTCAGACAAACTAATCAAAAGAACTAAACAGTATCGTCATATAATGGCAGATCACAAGATACGATCATTGGTGAGTGAGATGCAATAAACCCATAAGTTATCGGTCCTACGGCAGCCGGGAACTATGTATATCAGATATCTCGTATCATCGGTTGTGTCACTCCCGGAAATTCCAGCCTACATTTCATCTTGAGAACTTAACAAGATGTTACTATGCCACATAGTAATAATATTATTAGTTGCGCAGATGTTAACATTACTGTAATGCCCGCTTCTAATTTCTAAAGAGCATCAATCTGTCGTGACACAATCCTTTGGTTAACATCAGATAGCATTACAATCTAAGCTAGATAGCTTCTAACCGGTTACTTTGAATTATCTATCATTCGTTATGTTATTCTCGATCGTCTGAAAGTAGAAGACATGCATAAGCCACGGATTTTAATAGTACATTCTGTTCTATTTTGCTATTGACCTTATTAATTCCATCTTGTCGTGCCAATGTGATACGGGACACTATTGAAGATGGAACATCAAACATGAAACGTAAAGTACTATTTAGGTGACGTAAACCTGTTAGGGAAATGACCACTTTTTATCAACAGGAGTAGCTGAAATATGCTACAAATATCTAACCACGGTGTATATGAACATGCTATACTGCATAGTGTACGAATATGTTAGGAAAGCCGGTGATTAGAACGAGAGCGTTAGTATATGATACCATTAATTCGTTTAAGCCGTAATCATTAGTTTTAGTAATTTAAGCGGTGCTGTACTTTATCAGTCGTGATAGCTTAGTTGTACAAATTCCAAATCTTGAACGCATTTCGTCTGCTTTCATTCACTGATTTTTTTAGTCATCAGCACTATTTTATAAAAATTGTTTTATGCGTATTGTATGTTCTATGTTCCGTGCATTTGTAAAAATGATTTTTTATAGTCAAAAAACAATTCTTTACAATCATTGCTTTCATGTGACGAAGTATTTGCATTGTATGTGTATAGGGTTTCACTGTAATGTTTAAAATGTTTTCTTTCGCTTACAATAAGACGTTTGTCAGTAATAAAGTAATTGTCAATATTTTTAGTAGTTGAATCCATGAGTCAATTGAAGCTAGACCACCATACATAACCTGGAAGCATCAGATGGCCGTTTCGTCCTAGTATTGAACTCAGCAGTGCAAGTCCACGATCCCGCCTCGCGAGATTCGAACCCAGGGCCTATCAGTCTCGCGTGCGAGCGCTTAACCGCCCTCTCTAATTATAATTGTCAATAGGCCTATTTTTTTCCGATGGCCATTTAGTCAGTATAGATGATACATAAATTTGTTTAAAAAATTCAGTTTATTATCTCTCTAAATATAACACTATATATATATATCGCTAAAACCTCGGAAGAATAAAATTTATCGTGTATACAATAAAATGCTATAGAATACTAAATATTCCAACTTCTATTACATTGAATTATTGTCCGGGGTATAGCAACTATCCTACAATCAATTTCCATTATGATTAAGCCCTTTTTATTAACTTACTTAACATACAATGTTATTTGAATAGTGACAATTCTCATATTTCTTTGTGCAGTTGTGATCATGAGATCAAATGACAGACTACAGCTAAAATGTTGATTGCTTAAATGTCACTCGATAATTCATTCTCTTCCCCATGTATATATGTACTCAAATCCTATTATTAATCCTTGCTTTGCCTTGTTGCGCCCTTATACAATTTGACTATTGATTTGCCTATGTAATTGCTCGCATATTAGAATTCGCGCGATGTGCTTGTAGCTTTGTGATTGATTGGACGAAACAGAATGACAATTATTGGAAGATGGGGATGAACATTTTTTCCAAAGGGACGAAAAAAATTTTCACTCGAAAAAAAAAATACAAAAATGGCCGTGCAATAAATGTTTACCCAAGGATTAGTCATTAGCTGACAGTCAATCCCTTATAGTCCATTTCTCTAATGTAATTTGTTAATCAAGCATCCAAGTTTATTTATTGAACTTTTCGTCACATACGATTAACGTGTCATCTATGTATCAACAGTGAAAATCTAGCTTACTTAGCCTGTATTTCAACAGGTCCATTTTCTAGTTTGTCCAGAAAATACTTAAAAAATTACACTGCATCTTGGAATTAGAGAAATTTAGAAATTAGCTAACATTCGTATCTTTTCTAGAAGTTTTTAGAAAGACTACTGCATAACTATACAGAACCACAGCTTCACATGACATCATGATTAGATAGAAGGAAGTAAACGATGAACATTTACATAAAGTTGACATATACGTTTAGAAGTCGATCAAATGAAGAAATGGACAGGCACAAATATACTAAATCACACAAAAACATAGCATCAGAACCTTACCACTAAAATACATGGATTCGGTTATGTTGATTTTCTTCATACCGATATTTACTTATATCTCATTTCGATATTGACTACGTTCATCTTGTCGTTGGTTGGTTGATTAATGGCTTGTTAGATAAAATAGTAAATAAACTTAAGGTGATATGTAGGAAAACATAACCTTGAATAAATATTAACATGACTAATTCTTAAATTCACTTGGTATTGTTGATTTGAATCTTCCCATTGATGTTCAAGACTGCAATTGATCAGTCTCTCATTGGCATATATGCATACTGTGCGTATTGCATTGATATTACATTAATCCAAGAGCATTATATGCAAAGATGGATAGTGGCTAGCAGTGGAATCCAGGACGCACGTTTCGTCCTATATCGAGGTAATACGCACGGTGTACACATATGCCAATAAGAGACTGATCAATTGCAGTCCTAAACATCAAAGGTTAGACTCAGTAGCTAAGTCGATAACACGATTACGTTTGAAGTGAACTATGCTGGGTTTGAGTCCCTCCAGAGTGAACATCAACTGTGGAATGCAAGTAGATCCAGCTAACGAGTCCCACGTAGCACGGAACGCGTGTCCTGGGTTCCACTGCTAACCATTATCTATGAAAAATTCTTGTTTTAATAAAATAATGTCAGATTATGGTAAGATTTTTTAAACGAAATATTGACTTATTGTAACTATATCAGAATATTTTCTTAAGGCAGCCTGCTTGAATATCCGGGCCACTTGCTTCAATCATCTAGAGATTTCAGTGAGTTATCTCTTTCCTTGTTTGTTTTAACAGATCATTATGCCAGTTAATCGCATAATCTGTTCAGGTGCTTTTGTGAAAAATTTACGACCTTTCTCTGTACAAGTTACAAAAATGTACAGTCGGAGACATTGTGATGGCTGGCAATATGCATAGAAAGGAATGAACATTATTCTGATGTTTATAGTCACGCGGACCCCAACTAAGTAGTCTGTATCTACCAACATGACTTAGACCAGAATTTAGTGTATTCAAGCACTGATACCACGTTTTGG